GTCAGACAGACATCATTATAAAAGTATTAAAAATGTGTGTTTAGAACCCTAACTTGTGCTTATTCACTGAAAACTCACTATCAGATTTTTGGATTGAAAACATTACCTCCCTATGTAATAGAGGTTGTCAGGAGGTGAAAAGGGATCTTTATTTAAGATGTGCAATCAATTACACACATTTGCTATACATGAAATATACAGAAAAGCATTACAGTCAAAAGTCGTTAATCCGGACACCCATAATCCGGAATGATCTATAATCCTGACCTCAAAGCTACAAACTTTCTGCACATGTGTCAACGCTGACGCATGCGTGTAATAACTTTACGCATGCGCATAATACGTTTACGCAAGCGCGTTTAATGTATAACGGATGGTATAGGCTAAAGTAAAATTATCTAATTATCTATTTCAGTTAATGCTGCAGATTTGCGTTGTTCCTTAATCTTCGAATTGGAACCGGCTTATTATTTTTTGCAGACTGTTAGAGCACGTTTCGATGTCCATCAAACAAAAAGTGGAATTGCTGCAAAAAATGGATAAAGGCTCCTTTGTTTCTCTAACCATTCCAAAACCTGTTTATCAATTTCATGCTGCTCTGCGGCGGGGAGGGGGGCAATGAATGAATGCGGCGCGCAATGAATAGGAAGTTGATCTGTCAGCACCATCCTTATCTTCAGGGCAGACGTTTTTATTTTATTTGACTTAAAATTTTGGCTTATAATGTAGTGTTTCATCTTGATGTACTCTGATATGATTTAAATCAAATTACTCGTCATTATAAATATCATGAATACAAATCAAATAGTTTTCTGGTTGCAATTTTCTAATTTCAACTACGCGCAATGTATGCTTTACGCATGCGCGCATTGAAAGAAATGTTTAATAAAGTAAACAAATAAATATTAAGCTCTTTTTTTTTTTTTTTTTTTTTTTTTTTTTTTTTTTTTTTTGTAAATTTTGATACCTTTTAGATCATAATTGCTCTTTATATCATAAATTATGGTTTCATATTTTTAATTTTATAATTTCTGCATACCATCTTACCAGATTTAAACTGATGATCTATAATCCGGAATCGCCGAAGTCCCGACGAGTCCGGATTAAAGACTTTTGACTGTATTAAAAATTATGATTTTTCAACACTATTAACACATATCAGCACGAAACATCAATGGGCCATGCTCGACTGCCCCATCAGGAGTCGCGGATCAGCCGTGGGTCTTGTTCGAGTCTCTCATCAGGCAGCGTGCATCAGCAGTGGGTCACATTCGATTGTCCCATCACATGGTGTGCATCACAGATGGGTCACACTCTAGCCTCTTATCATGAGGCGTGTATCACTCATGGGTTATGCTAGAATATTTGGTCAAATGATGTGTATCACTAACAATAAATATTCCAGATTTTTTCCTAATACTTCCATTTACAGACTCAAAAGATGAATCACTTGTTTCTATATCTATGTTATCTATTATTTGCATGGGCAAAAATTAAAAATGAAAAAATGTTAAAAACCTTCTAGTTACACTTACTGGACGAAATGTATGATCAGGATGAATAAAAATGGCACGAGTTGTACAACTTGCAAAGTAAGCACATGCACTATGAATCATCTGGGTGTACCACATATGACTTTTCAGATAGAACATTTAATTAGGATTTTTTTATCTCCATTAGATGTAGCTGTATGTCTGTTATGATGAAATGTATCGAAAGTAGCATGTTGACCTACATTCCTATGCAATGTTTTTATTTTTGGCATTTTGTTTTGGAATGAGAGAGAGATTCTTAGGTATTGAGGAATGTATTGGCTCTTTAACCCTTTGGTAACTAATGGGACATTATATGTCTCACTAAAACTTTTAAAATTACTGCTGCATTAAAAAGTACTTAGAATCTATGGAATGTCGGGGATCATCTTCCAACAGTTGGAAAACCAAGATGCCGCTGTGCTCGTTGTATACACTTGAAGGTACAGAAAAGAACAAATACGAGTTGCCCAATGTAATGTTAGGTTAAGCAGAGAATGCTTTACTCTGTACCATGCGACGTAAACCTGTTTCCTATAACATAAAGTTTTTCAGAATAATAGGTGTGCTTATAGTAAGTCAATTGCTACATGTGGGACAGATATATATATATCACTAACTATGGGTGGGACATGTGTGTCCCAGCTTGAAAACTGTTAAAAAAATTCCAAATGCTCAATTTACCTTACTTATGACATATTTTGTTTACTTGGATAGAAAACAGGGTAAAAATAATTTTTTTTTTTTAAATTTGTAATCAAAGTGTTAACTGTGTCAATTGATATTAACAAATGCACATGTTATTGATGCTTTAGAATATATATCACAGATATAAGGTGGTAGATGTTCTATCTTTTAAGAAGTTTTATTTATTGCTCTTAGATTTTTCCCCTAGCATTAAGATGGATATTTTGTATCATTTAGTGACTATTTTTGCACCTCGTAGAGACATTAGGTTAATTGGAAAAGCTGAAGAGATGAAAAATTAGCAACCACCTTCGCCGGGAATCGAACCACGGACCTCTGGAATACCAGCCCAGCATGCAGAATCACTACACCATGAAAGCACGCTAGGAAAGTGGGAGAAATACCTTATATATTCCCCTTTTTAAAGGGCAACTGGGTTTTTCAGGGAACCAATTCCCCAAATCTTGAGTGTGGAGGAACCTCATCTAACACCCTTTTAGTTTGGGCGCAACTGTAGAGACATTACGTTAATTGGAAAAGCCGGAGAGATGAAAAATTAGCAACCGCCTTCGCCGGGAATCAAACCACAGACCTCTGGAATACCGGCTCAGCGTGCAGAACCACTACACCATGAAGGCATGCTATGAAAGTGGGAGAAATACCTTATAACCTAAATGGCAAAACAAAAATTATATTTAACAGAAGGACAGTATAAACGAATGATAAATCAGTCTCTTTCTATATCTTTACATACAGCTACAGCAATTCTAATAGAGAATATTTATTTATTTATATATATTTATTTGAGATACGTCAAAAATTAAACATGCTGGTATTTTATGAAAGTGATTTCTATAATTTTTATTTATGCATTGCATTAAATAAAATCAGTGATTGGATGTTTCTGCCATATATATTTATAGGACGTAAGTCAAAAATTATATTACTCTACAATTAATTCTTTTATAAAAATTTTAAGGAAAATACAATAGTAAAGGTTCTAAATTAATTCCAATAACTACCTGAATGCTCTTTTCATAATATAACAATATTTGGAGCAATTAGACAACAAATTTAATTTATGCAAATTTTTTCCAAAGTTAGGCTTTGCAGCATGAAATGCTCGTCCCCTTAAGACAATGCATCTGGTTAGTCTGCTGTCCTGAGAGAGTGATTCAGTGACTGAGCTCCCCATCATGAACAGATTAAATACATTAATACATATTTCATATATTTTTTTTCTTATTGTTAACATTACCCTTTCTTTGTGAAAAGGTATTATGTTTTATCTACATTACTGAAATTGTTTAAGATTGTAAAATACTTTTATTCTCTGTGGAAATGCATTATGCTTTTCTACATTATGGAAATTGCTTGAGAATGTAAATTATTTTTTGCTTCTGGGACTAAAAAGACCCGATAGCAAAGAACTGAAAGCAAAAGACATGATTTAAACATCTGTTGCCCATTTATAAATCTTGCAAAGTTTTTAAAAAGAAAACTTATTTTAATTCACATATTATAATGCATGGATGTTGGGATAAAGGACTGTGAGTCATATAACTCTGAAAACAGATAGATATAAATTGAAATTTAAATCTTCATATCTAAAATATGAAGAATAGACAAATGTGGGATACTTAAAGAAAGTTCAACATCAAAGTAAATTAAAGAAAAATCTGGTAAAAGAAAAAAAAAATTAACATTCTATCTAGGGGAAAACACTAATAAGAAATTAGAAAAAGAACAGATGCTAAAATTTCCTATTCAGATTTGGAATGTTATGAATTTTATTGCTGAAGAAAAAAAGGGTAGCTTGTGATCATCTGCTCCCCAGATTTCAATAGTCAGTAGATTTCACATATTTTTTAGTACACATACACCAACAGTTATCCTACCCACACATGTATCACATATATGTTTAAGTACATGATGATCCCCATACTTTACATTTAATTATTTTACATTCACTGAATATTCTGTATTTGTAAAAATGTAAATGCCAGTTATGTAGAACTTTATTCTTTCTTATAAAATTTTTCTCATAAAATGCTTTATTTTATTATTGTTTATGAACAGAACAGTGTCACAGTAACGCAGTTAACTCCAATGAAATCACTTTCAGTGATAGTAAATATAATTGAATGTCACTGTAAGCAGACAGCAGTACCCATGAACCACAAAGATAGCCAAACAATTGTTCACACCAATTTAAAAGTTGCCAATGCTAGGATGCAGATAATCAGAGAGTAGCATTAATAATGTAGTCGACTCCAATGAAATCATTTTCAGTAATAGCAACAGGTATAAGCGATTGACACTGTAAGAGGACAGCAGTGTCTATAATCCAAAAAGCTAGCCAAACAAATGTTTACACCAATTGAAATGTTGCAAATGTTAGGGTTCAGATAATCAGAAAGCAGCATTATTAATAATAATAACCTGACATTCTCAACTGTGCAGAATATATTAATAATAATAACCTGACATTCTCATCTGTGCAGAATATTTTCAAAGTCACAGCAAACAGGAATGGGAAACTAAACAGCAAGAGGGGCAACCAAACATAAAAACAAAGGTTTTCATACTTTTTAGAGTAGCAGAGAAACATTTATGTAAAAAAACAAAAACATGTATGCAATCAAAAAGGAATGCCAGTTTTGATTTCTTGTTGTATGATTAAAATTGATATTAACTATTTTAACACATGGAGTAGTATTTCCAGAAAAATACAAAATAATTAATATTAAGGCTTAATAGAAACAGATATGATCAACTCACCTTTCAGCAGCTTCTGGATTAGCAAATCGAATAATAGCTGTAGTTCCATTTACACTAACTACTTTCCCTCCACAATTATCTGATAATTTTCGAAGAAGGTTTTTGATTTGTCTTCCTCTTTTATGTGATGGCAAATCTGTCACTTCCAATTCAATTGGACGGTTGTCAGATGACTGAAAAATATGAACAGTAAAAAATTAAATATAAAAGCTTTAATGTTTTACACATGAGAATTAAAAATTTACTTTGTAATCAGTAACTAAATAAAAACTGTTTATTATAAAAATTATTTACATAAAATATCCCTGAAAAACCCTTATAAAGAATTATAAAGGATTCCTTTATAAAGGATCATGCATTTTATTTTACATTTAATAAAATGCTCCATGTGAATGAAGACTAATACAAGTCACATATAAAATCTCTTTACAGACATTTCTATAAAACCTACATGATAATGATAGACAACTATTGAACACTTTACTCTCAAAATTAATTAAAACTAAAAAATCCTATTAGAGAATTAGCTTTCTACTGTACACATGATTATGTGTTTTATCCTAAAATGGAATATACTTATATAAATTAATAATTAATGGGGGAGAAATCACTCTGAAGTATTTAGAGTAAGATACATATTTTTACTGAAGAGATCAGTCAGACTGTGAGACTGATGTAATTTTATATAATATAGTCTATTCTCTATTCAGATATGCTTTGTAAAAATTCTTATATTACCTTTACAGGACTTCTTGATGGCAAGTTAAGAGTGATGCTGAAGAAATCATAATGTTCATGAGCACAAGCAAGAAGTGATTGATGAGCATGACCTCTATGTACCAAAATGATTCTAATGTTGTGACGATGACGAAAATCAGACAAATCCGAAGCAAAATTTACATCATCTGCAATGATATTCATAATTAAAGAAATTTTAGATTTCAACAATTCAAAATTTACTGAGCTTCTTAGAAATAATGCCTCCAAAGTAAGACTGATCATCTGAACTTAAAATGATTTCAGTGATGTATAAAAAATATTTTAATATTTCTCAACATTAAATTATTATATTTTATAATAATATCAATTTTTTCAAATAGAACTATTTAACCTTAATTTTAAATATTAAATCAACTGATAAATTAACACGAAATAGTGAAACAAAAACAATTTTATTAGTTACATTCATTTCCAGAATGACTTAATAGGACAGTTGCTAAATTTCATTTTATGACTATGACCACAATATATACAGCAGAACCTTGATTATCTCAGTTTTGATTAACAAGGTTCTGCATTATTCAAGCCCTATGCAATTTAAAAAAATCATTAAAATAGCCCCCCTCCCTCTAAAGATAAACAATCCATAGACTTTGGTTTACCAATAATTCAAACCATAAAGATAAGAATCCATCACTACCATGTCAGCTTCATTTCTTGTGGGCAATGAGCAAAAAATTTTGTTTTCGCAATGGACCCAGAGTCTGCAATTAGTTACGCAACAACTGAGCAGCATGAGTAATTCTGGACCTCCACTTTTCTCGTGTTCTAGCGACTATTTGTTGAATGAAGATTGATAGGAAAAAATGTCTGGTTTTATTGTTAGAAAAAAAGCTTGATGCTATTAACAGGCTAGATCATGATGAAATGATTAAAAAGGTGACTAGTGGTCCAGGTGTTGGCAAAGTGACAGCTGGTATCTGGAAAAGGAAGGAAACTGAAAAATGAGTGACTCAGCATGCACACATGATTAGAGATCATAATGCCATAAAAAATAAAAAAGAAGATAGTAATTATGAACAGACATCAGAAGCATTGTTTGTATGGTCTCAACAAATGAGACAGAACAAGTCCACTATCTGGTCTGATATAAGATTTGGACTTTTCTCAGCAAAGCAAAAGATGGTGAACAGGAATTCACTGCCTGCACAGGCTAGCTTGATCAATGGAAAAAAAAAGGGGACAGCATGTGGCAATTAAACATTTCAGAGGATATTCTGTCGGCTAACTCAGGTGCAGTGATTTCCTTCATTAACAAATTGGAAAATATCATTCAAGAAATGTGCCCAAAGCAGATTTATAGCAGTGATAAAATGGTTTGAATTCTGAAATGTTGCCAAGAAACACAATAGCATCAAAACAAGAATTTTTAGCTCCTGGCTACAGACAAATTTGGATAATGTCTGCAAACAAATCTGGCAGTAACATTCTTAAAATCTTACTGATATAGAAGAAGGAAAAAAAAAAAAAAAAAGAGGCATTTAAAAATGTGAATATTAAAAATCTTACTGTAAAGTAAACAAACCAAAAAGGGGTTGGATGGATTTCAAGAATATTCAAGTCATGAAAAGTTTGTGTCACTTTTTAAGCTACTTTCTAATAAAATAATTTGCCCCATAAGGTGGTCTTAATTCTGGACATTGCTCCCTGTCATCCTTATGAGGTCAGCTGATTAGTGGCGAGACCTGGGCTATTTTTCACCCCCCTTAATGTTACACCCTGGATTTAGCCTTTGGATAGAGGTATTTCAGAAAACTTAAAATGAAACTACTGGCACAGGCTCCTAAAATGTTTATTATTAGATGAATAAATAACAAAACGGTTGTTGAAAGCTTAAAACAGATTAATCTGAAAGATGTGATTCACTGGCAGGGTGAATCATGGAATACTGTTAAAATATATATCATTCTGAAAAACTGGAAAAATATTTTGCTGAATGACAATGACGCAGACTCAAGAAGCAGATGATGAAGAATTAATGGCTACCTTAAAACACCTACAAGTTACACAGGAACTAATAAATGAAAATATGAATGACTTAATACATGATGAACAATTTAAGCTGTCTGATGAGGCTAACCATGCACAATGAAAGTTCTGATTGGCTTGAATATGATCAAAATGGCACTGCTCTGTGCTGAACAGCAAGATGACAACTTACCAGCTGAAACTACGTCATTCGTGGCATTTATGCAATATGGAGCCAAGAAAACAAGGCAACACAATGAAATAGAAGGCTGTCTCTGGGTTTTCAAAAAACGTGTGATATGTTATGCATATACATTTGTATTACAGGTACCCTGCGCCAAAAAAAAAAATAATAATAACACTTCTATAACGTTCTACTGAGTCGATTTATATACAGTACAAAGTCCGTAATCCGGACGTCCATTATCCGGGATGATCTATAATCCAGACCTCAAAGTCACAAACTTTTTTTTGTATGTTTTACGCATGCACATTGGGAGGATGTGTCTCCAGATACGTTAAAAAATCCTTAGCATAATTTATGGCCAGCTACCATATTTCATGGTGAGGATGATGAAGATGATAACTGCGAATTTGAAGATTTTCGGACATCGTAAACTAAAGGTGAAATTTTCCAGTTATTGCATTTTATAAAGAAATGTGGAGAAGCAGTAATAAATGAAGATGATATAACAGAAGGTTTTCATTGCGACTACAATGGCCCAATCATCAATCAATTAACAGACGGAAAAATCAGTAATATGGTTCTAAATCCAGAAAATACCACTTCTTTCCGATAAGTGGAACTTTGTAACTGAACAAGAAATTATGTCTGTTTATAGAATTAAAGAGAAAGTATTAGCACAAAAAATGAAGCAACTTAAACAACTTACATTGAAAGAAATGTTTAATAAAGTAAAAAAATAAATAGTAAGTTTTTTTTTTTTTTTTTTTTGTTGTTGTTGTTTTGTTGTTTTGTTTTTGTAAATTTTAATACCCTTTAGATCATAATTGCTCTTTATTTCATAAATTACGGTTTCATATTTTTAATTGTACAATTTCTGTATGCCATCTTACCTGATTTAAATTGATGATCTATAATCCGGAATCGCCGAAGTCCCAACAAATCCGGATTACGGACTTTGTACCGTATAGCAATCGTTTCGACACGACAATTAGCCAGAAATTAATTAATTTCCATTCACTAGTATTTTCAAAATAATTTTAACAGAAGGTTTCACTCAAATAAGAACACCACAGAAAACATCCCTCAAGAATTCCAAGTCCCACCCACTACCATAAATTACTTCACCCAAGTCTTACCGACTGATATTATTCAATGCCCCCGCTGCCGCTAAGAATTTTTGGACACCCAACACTTCTGAGTCAGACATGAAGAGAACACTTTGCCAACTCCCCACTAGAAAGAATGTAAGTTACTTAATACCTTTTCTGGCACTTTATATCTTCATGTACATTCACTGTTTCTTATTATATTTTTTACATTTTTTATATTAATTTTGATTTGTTTTTACAAAGTTTGCATTATTTATCTTATTTTGTAATCTTCTATGTTTATTTCAACTTTACTTTGAATTCGATTTCATAATAACAATTTCCAATGTTTAATTTTTACAAATAATATTGAACTCAAATGCATAAACATGAAGGGTGTCAGGGGACGGTTACTCGAGTTTATCGAAATTTACTACAGATTTGCTTTTTACTCAAATTGAATTGACTAAAATGCTTCAATAAGAATAAGTTCTTTGAATATACAGCATTGGATCATAATCCCTTCTATTCGCGGAGATATTTGGCCTGACTAGAATTGCCGGTTTGGCTTTAACCTTATTGCTCGAGTAAAGACGAAAACACCTTCGTATTTACGTTTATTAATTATTGTTCGTTGAACGGGAGTTGGTTTGTTCCCCTTGAAAAGTCAATTAATTTCCGATCAATGACAATGATTACATGGTTTTAATTTTGCCTTTAATTTATTCCTTTACATTGAAATTTTATTATTCATGATGATTTAATTCTAGTCCCCGTTAAAACATTTTTAACATTTTACTTTCAAATTACTTCAAAACATCTTTCGACAATATAACTTACTAGTATGGATTCACTCTTTTAAGATAATCCTACTATAATTAAACTTAGGAGATAATATAATCAACTCATCAATATCTTTAGTAAATAAATTATTGTTCTAATATAGGTATTTTGACAAGAAATTGAACTTTTTCGGAAATAACATACCAATTTTTTTCACGTCAAATTATTCAGAACATTAAACATGATGCAATGGACAGTGCATTTAAAAGGCATAGCTAATACTCCAAAGTCAACTCTGAACTAACAATTTCAGAATTGATGCTCTCTTCAGTCTTAAACAGTTTTCTCATCGATGCCGAGAAATCTTCAGAAGCATCCATTTATCAAAATTATTGGAAGACATATATGAGCTGGATATGGTTACAGAAACATACAGAGATCAATTACAGTACCAGTTACAGTTATACAAGAACCAGACCAAAATGTCACCAAGTTGGGAGACTTTCTGAGACAAAAAATAATTATCAAAACCATCTCGGGCGTGGCACAATCTTGCCAATTTAATGATATACTCATTTACCTAAATGCTACAACTTGACCCTGAAACCTTATATTTCTTGTATATCTTCACTTGAAGCTTTCTGAAGTTGTAACCTTCACCTTGCGAGATGGCCACTAATTAGTTTCCCTGTTCTTTGCTGGGAGTGGTCTTACCTCCCATGCTTTGGGTTGTTCAGCAGTTTTTTTGTATGTGTCCTTCATCTCCACTGTTCCATCAGTTAGGCTCACTTTGCTGTCACTCTTATTCCATATCAAGGCATTGACTTGCTTGGTAAAATCATCTACATGAGCAGTCAGTTGATCCACTGGCTCTTACACATGAGCAGCTTTGACTGGATGGTGGTCTCTACAGGTTGCTTGCTGGCTTGCCTCGAATTTCATGGCAAGCACTTCAACGTCTATGGTTAGCTCCTAGAGTGTTCAAATGGGTTTCTGCTACGAATTTAATCGAAGCTTGCTCTTATCCTTTAAACACCTCTCGCCAAAGTGCGCTGGATAGAGTTTCGGTATATAGCCTCTGGTTTTTTGGCAATCTGAACC